CCCCAAATCCCCAAAACCCCAAAACCCCAAAACCCCTTAGGCCTTCAAAATTATTGAATTAAACAACAGAAAAATTAAATGTTGATGAAATGTTGTTGATCAAATAATATTAGACAGACTAACTGCAGAGTTTAGCCTTGACATCAGGAGTAAAGAAATCATTCTCATCTTCACTGGAATCCTCGATAATGTTGATTGCTCTCAACACTTGGGTGATTTTAGAGAAAGAATGGGAGATACTGTCCATTATTGGTACAGGGATTTGCCTAGCTATTTTTTCTTCATAAGTCACATCATGCACCCAAATAAATTTCATCCTTATTAGTAGCTTGTTGGACTTTGGATCTGGCTGATTACCTTCTCATTCTTGAAGCCCAATCTGTAAAATATTATGAATATTAATAGCATTTTATGGCTTTAAGGGACCCTTAGAAGAATGATGCTAAGTCAAGAAATCAGAAATGTAAAATCTTATATCCTTATAGTCCTTAATATTAATAATTAACCAATCAATGTTAAGATATTTACTTCTCGAATTTGTTCATTAATTCTTCCTTCTGAGTGCTTTGGAAAATCAAATGGGACAATGAAAAATTTGGCTACCGGGTCCGAGCTATTTATATTTGCAAACATGCGATAAATCTCTTCATCACCATCAAGAACTCTCTTTGTGCTCCTCTCTAATATTAATATGAAAACAAGTACCAAGTTCAATAAAATCAATAAAAGCTCTGATTTCCAAAGTAGTTGATTCAATGTTGGACCTAGTTTCTGTTTCTACTTGAGTACTTCTTGTAAACTCTTCTAACACCTATATTGTCAGCACACCTTTACATTCTTCAAGTATGACTTAATGTCTTCTTCATCTTTCATTTCTGGATTACTTAATTCAAAGGCGTGCTCCTAAGCTCATTTTAATTTCAGATCAATTTTTCTGATTTCACTTACTTTTTCATCTTTCGAAATGGAACTCCTTAAAAATGATCTGAAAGCGAATTAAATTTAAGCAAATATTGTGAATATTAGAATCTAAGCTTTTACAAAAGAAGAAATAAATAGTAGTTATGTTTTTATATACTAAAGATAAATTAGCGCGCATAAAGACACTTTTGTAGCATTCAAACAAAACCTCGTGAGTTTTGGAAAATCAAGATAAAAAGCACTGTCTCTGTTTTTGTCCTCAAATTTTGCGAACTTACTTATCCTGAAAATTGGAGGTTCTTATTATCTCCATATCAACTAATGAATTATCGTCTCTGGTGATTATATCTTGCATTTGTAGGTTAGACGTCCTTTCTTCTGAGCTGTTATCCTATATGTACGGTTAAGTTAGATGTTTCTGAGGAGATATTTTGGAATTGAGGTGATAATAGAAGGAAATTTTTAGAAATTAATATTTTGGTCAGTTTTATAGAAGAGTTGAGAGTTTATTCAGTGAGTTTAGGTGAAAGCTTCTGTTTTATTGGGATGTACTGCTTCTATTATTATATTCTTTAAGATAATGCTTAAGTTATTTTTATTTTTCTTGTGTTATCAAGACAGTAAATTTGTAGCTTTGCTTGAAATAGTTTTAATAATTAAGATACCTGATTTTGTAAATAACTTGCTGCTATGACATTATAATTCTGTATGATACAGTACTTATACTCTGATTCTGGTTCATTTTCTTCCATTTATTAAATAATAATTATTTTTTTATTTTATTTTAAGCCCAATGATACTTTACCAAAACTCTACAACTTTCAACCTTCTTCAAGCCCCACGGGGTTTTGGGGTTTTGGGGTTTTGGGGTTTTGGGGTTTTGGGGTTTTGGGG